AGGTCCCTGTATAGTTTAGGTTCACAACATAAAACGCCAGATGGCGCCGGAATCGAGTTATTACTCGCATTTATGATCCGATTTGGCTCATATTGAAGATATATATTGGTAACGATTACGGCAATACTATTTCAAAAAACGATACGCAAGGAGGCGCTGGAGCCTAGTTATTGCTAAAAACTTTAAGTGAAATCATTCGGAGGCCCCAAGGTTCAAAGTCAAATTACCACGGTGAAATCAACCATCAGAACCATTGCGGTCCTTACTTTAAAGCGACAAAACAGTATAAAGACAATTCTTGATGAATGCCTGCAAATACAATTGTAAGACACTTACAGTATTTCGTATGAAATAAGTCTATGTAAATTGGATTTCTGTGAACGAATGATACTCTCCAGTTTTGAAATTACCACCAACTATTCTACACAGATTCAGACACGATTCACCATCAAAACGGATCATTTTTGCCGCAAGAACTTCTTTATGGACATAACGCTTTCGTTAGGTGATTTAACGGGAATGGAGGATATGTCTTCTGACGACCACAAAACCAAATGAGAACAAGAATTGTCAGTGAAAACGTAAGACCAAATGTTTCAAGAAAAAAAATTAACTTTGGGCGGGACGAAGTTCGCGGGGTCTGCTAGTAAATAGACATCAATTGCAAAGAATATAATTTTTTTAATTTTTAACGTGTTATTATGACCTTAGGTGTATGTGTTAAAAATTGGAATTTCATCTGCCGCATAAATTAATGCGTGAAATAATAATATACTGCTTTGATTTGCAATGCAAATATTTCTGAAAAAATTCCAGTTTCCAAGAGAGGAAGCGCGCCAATGGTTTTGCTGATGTGGTCGTTGTTGTTGTGGCGGCTTACTTAAGCTTTAATTTCCTCGAAACGCGCTATTATATAAAGCCAGATGAACAGAGCTTTAGTTTGCGCTTTTATGTTGTATAGGCATTCATTGCTTTTCAGTCAATTAGGACTTCGTCCTTTTCGGTCGTCCAAGCACTACCATTTTCATTCAAAATTGATAGAAATTTATATTTAATGCTTTTACTTTGGTCAAAAGAATTGGTATGAAATTCTAGCGCTACAAATATTACGCTGATAAATACGGTGCCGTCAAATTAAGTTACGCTGTTTAATGCAGCCATCTTAGCTGCCACCTGGTAATATTCACATTGCAATGTTTTCACAACGTAATATTACGACATCTATCATACGTTTACCCACCACCGTTTGAGTGCCTACGGAAGAGGAAGCTTCAATGGCTTCTAGTAGCGTGGAGTGGCAGGCGGTGTCAAACGGCTTTGACAGATCCAAAGCTGCTAAGAATGTTTTTCCTAAGAGGCGGTATCGATTCAGGCCAAGAGTTATCTGAGGGTTTTTGCCGTTAACATGTGCTGTGCAGCAGGTATAGGTTTCTGGTCCTGGGTTTGACTCGATGCCAGCCCTGAGCAACCGGTAAGGTAGAACCGAAATATAGCCACTGAAAAACATCTTATTTATGTTCTTGGTTATCTAAAAATGTTTTCTTTTCATCCTTACATAAGAATATAATAATTTTGTATCTTATTAAGCCCGGAACACTTTGACGACAGCAAGCGACAAGCAGCATCTGTCAAATTTTAAATACACACGTTCTTACGGACACAATTATTTTGACGACAGCACGACATCTTGGCTGCAGGACTACAATTGTCGACGTCGCCAAATTAAATCTATTTCTAATTTTGCCGGCGACAATGAGTAGATGTAGTGCTGCAAAATTAAATTGTCGCAAAATTAATCACATATTCTTGATTGTTCATGTTCTTCTTATTTACTTAAATAAAAATACACAATTTGTGAAATAAATATACCAAAATGTCAAACTTTAAAATCAGCTATTTGCTATGTCGCTGAGGTCTTCAAAATGTTTAAGAAGCTGGCTTCAAGGCGACATTTGTCGACAAAATGATGACGCTGTCGATACGTCGTGAAGTTGCAGTCGTCAAAGTGTTCCGAGCTTTATGTCGCAGCGTCAGCTCTTCAATGTTCCATTTTTAAACTACATAATTAATTATTCAATTCAACTTAATCTCTTATTATGTGGAACTCGATTTGTCACTGACAACCCAGTAAATAATTTCAAAAGCTAAAAGCCCTTCCAAAAGGCCTTCCTGAGAGTCGAGTGGTCTTCCGCTCTACATTCCCTTCTCCTTTTTCGATATGAAGTTGCACAAATTTAAGGGCTTCTTCTTTCGCTACCCTTAGAACGCCTTCCGGAAAGGCTTTTATAGCACGTACTTCAGAAGGCCTTTTGGAGGAGTAATTTTAAAGTTGCTTCTTTAATTTATAGAAATGATACATCTTTGAAGTATTTCGTTAAGACAATATTTACATTTGTAATGCTAAATAATAGAAATTTATGCATTCGCGTACATTGTAAATGTATAAGCCCTTCCAGAATGCATGCAAGTAAGCACTTTTTCAGGCCTTCTTGGGTAGGCCTCTAAGAATGGCTTCACTTAAGAAGGCCTACCTAAATTTGCTGCTGGAAAGTCATCTTTTGTAAATATTCTAAATACAATTTAATGTATGCATTTAAATACCATTTTTCTCTTAATCTGTTAAAATATATCTGTGTTCGTATGGAAAAGTAGCTTATGTCGAAAGGTTGGCTTTAGTATAATGCGGCATTCCTTTTATTCTTTAAACGAAAAGGAATTTTTTGCTGAGACTTAATAAGAATATTGACTTTCTAGTAGCGGAACTATTTCTTGCACGTTTATTTGCCAAAAGTTGTTCAACGGCTCAGCGCCAGCGAGTCATTCGCAATCGTGTACATACTGCAAATGTCAGCCTTTCGATATAAGCTACTTTTCCATACGAACACAGATATTATTCATAGATTGACTAAATAAATAAAGAATAAGAAATATAGCATAAGTTATTTATAAAACTAGTGAGGCTGAATTGAGCTGAGCTTTTAGGTTTAGGTTTTAGTTTTTTAAACTATAATTTTATTTATCCTTAGTTTTACCTTTATATTTATCTATATATTAATAATTTCATTTATAGTTTCATTTTTATCATTTCCTTTACATTTATCCTGATTTCTATCTTGATTCTTTTCTTCATCTACATATTCACCCCCCACCTTTGTCATTGTCAGGTTGGTTCTGCAATTCATTTTCGTGTAAATTTACCATCCTCTTTGTCTTTATCTATAGGCTTCTAACTTTTATTTTAATCTTTCTTAATTAGTTCGCCGTTGCTGTATTTATGCAAATGACGCTCAATTACCTAAAACTGTTTTAAAATGTTGCCTCCTCTTTACTTCCTTCTCTGCGCCACGAACCTTTTCTTATTTTTAGTAAAGAATAAAACAAAATAAAAAGAACACTAAAAATAAACGAAACAGCTATAATTTTATCAAATCATTCGAGTGTGTTTTAATGTCGAAGAAGAGCAAGACAGAGATGCGTCCATCTGTTCTATGTTTACACGTACATAAGTATGTAGTATGTACGTGATGTTTATTTATACATATACGATACGCGAGGATGTCTTTTTTTTTTAATGTGTATAATTTTGTAAGTTTTCACTTTGTCTTTTGTTCCCGTGCTCTTTATACGCTTCATGGATTGTATTTTATACAGTGTTTAATCACAATAAAAAATGTTGGCCTTGACATTAACATATTTTTGTTATTTTCGATGGGCCATTTCACAATCATAATTTACAATGAACTTTCATTCAGTTGAATACATACTATGACTAGTGAAATTTTAAAATTAATATGAAAGAATAATACTGTGAAGAACTTCCACCAGCCCTGTTTTGATTTACATATAGGTCTGGCTACCAGCCTATAAGCTTTGACACCTCTACCCCACGCTCGAAAAACTTAACCGCACCGTTGATCGAGTATTGCATAATTCCTCGTTGTTCTAAATTAAATTAATTATCGCTTGTTGCTTTACTGGTTTGAACTTTCGGTTTCAATAAATAATATCATTTATATTATGGTTTTTTCTTTAACGTGATTTCGCGTTAACCAGTTCTGAAGCTTTTAACAAGTCTAATAATTGCTTTCAAGGAGTTTTTTACTTTATACGCCTTTTCTATTGTTTAACATTTCTTCATACAAATTACAACTGATCATCAACTTGACCTACCCTAATCTGAGACCGCTTATCGTTCATTTCACTCTGCAGCCTTGGTAACCGGAACGACCTAGATTTATATTTGAACCAGAACTGCCACTCCAGCAGCACTCAGCGAAACTCCCTTCGCTATGTTTTATGATGTCATAAAAACAACCGCTTACCCAGTTTCGCGAAAAGAACTTTAAAAAACATAGCACTCCGTGGGTGCTCAGAAAAGTGCACGTAATTGAGAGTACCATTTTAAAGGCCCAAGCAGAAAATTCAAAAGTATTAAACAAACCCCAAAAAATAGAACATTCGGACCTTTCTAATCAACAAATAATTAATACTTATAATAATAACTCCAATTCGCAGCAACCACCAACTACAGCATTATGTTTAACTTTTCGCTTTCAGTGCTTTGCTGTCTATGTATTTTTGCTATTTGCTCCATTCTACGCACATTTGTTTACTTTTTTTTCATATACATACATACATATGTATGTATGTACATACATAGATAGTTTTTTATAGTTTGGTACAATTTCACAAAATTTAATGCGCAGTTATAACTCTAGCCTTAAGAAGTTAAACTTTTTGTGATTTCAATATAACTACCTACAGGCTAGTATTTATAATTATAGATAATATGTACATAGCAAAGTAGAATATGTACATAGGAAAGTATTTGTATATATGCAACTATTTTGCATTTCAACAGCTCAATTTTAGTACTCCACATAAATTTGTAGATTCATTCTTTATCAGGTATTGGAAATAGGCCAATATGCTTCTTCCAAGCAGCAATCTTCGACACATTCAAAAATTTAAACAAAAAAATTACTTTTATTCGCACTTACCTTCCAAGCATTGACCTTCGGTGGGGGTGCAGCAACGTACTTTTTCGGTTGTGGTGGCGCAGCTGTTGCGCTGGCAGCTGCCGGCGATTCGGCATCACTACTTTTGGCTTCATTGCCGCTACTAGTATTCTCAGCACTTGCACTCGGCGAAGTGTCTTTACGATCTTTTGGTGACTTGAGCGCTCCACCAACAGCACCGCCCTTGCGTGGGCTACCGGCGCGTTGACGTGGACGTGATGTAAACTTTTTATCACCATCTTTATCACCTGCTCCAGTTACGCGTTTATTTTTTCCGCCTTCACCACCAACGCCATTGCCGCCACCGGCACGAGAAACATTCCCCCCGGCAGCAAGCTTTTCATTGCCATTTCCACCCTGACGTTCACGACCGAATGGTTTGTCCTTACGTGGTTTCTTGCGATCACGTCGGTGATGTGAAATCACTGGTACAAAATCATTATTATCATCGATTTCTGAAGAATTTTCCGCACCAGCATCAGTGATAGCAGCCCGCTTTTCACCAGCCACAGTAGCACCAGTTTCAGCAATAGCAGTGGCAATTCCGCCGGTGGCTCCTTCAGCTGCAGCAGCCTCTTCACTCCATGACTTGATTGTTTTTAGATTCGGTTGGTTTTCTTTATTGTCAGTATCAACAACTGCCACGTCAACGGATCCACTTTTGGCAATGGCACCTTTTTTAGTTTCCAAATTTTGCAAAACATTAGCGTAGGATGTAGTAGCTGCTGCTACCGGTTGGCTAGCTGAGCTGACCACCGTTGGAGTGGCGGTGGTGGCGCTCGGTTTTGAAGTTTCCTCCTTAGCTGCTGACATGTTAGCTTTAAGTGCGTTTATTGTGTGCCTCCGGAGTATAGGTAACGTCAGTTACGTTACTAACCCCAGAAATTTTGAGACGTTATGGAAACTCTTTGCTGCTTCCTTGCCCAATCAAAAAGACAAACGTTCAAACAAATGCGTCGATACTGAAAAAGAGAACGGAAATGTTTACTATGAGATTAATCTATTTCTGCAAATATGGGAACGACATACACACTTGTGTAGGATAACGGCTAACCAAGACTACCTAGCCTAAATCAAGTATTCTGATGAAACAACAATGTCAAAGGAACTGCTTATGGCCTTCGCAAATACCCGCACAATTAATTGCGAAACCTATATGGACGACCGCATTTCGTATGTATAAATTCACTGTGGATTCTTCACTGTTGTTTATATACAGAAAACAATGTAAATTCACTAGTATTAAACAATAGACAATTTATACACAATCTTTGCAAATGACATCATATCCTTTCGAGTTCAAATTGAGGATCCTTAACGAAACGAAATTTTATGAACTGAAATTCCACAGCAAGTCTACAGCAACGAATTTTTTTATTTTACTATATCCGAAACTGGCATTTAACGCTTTCTACTAATTTTTCGGTGAAAAAATAATAGAAAATTTTAAGAAATTTCGCGTAATATTCCAACGGACGTCAGACTGTATGAAAATATGGTCAAAAGTGGGGTTAGGTTTGGTACACACTGTCAAACTATAAATGAAACGAAAGCGAAAGGAATACAATGAACTGACATTTTCTATTTACCACTCAGAGTTGCATTTAGAAGTACGTATTATCGATTTACTGTTTATCTCAAATACAATTGGTTGGCATATATGGGACAACAAACTTGTGTAAATATTTTTGTAGCCAATATTTACATATCCATGAATATGCAAACGTATAGTTTTTGAAGTCAATATGTATACAGTCTTATGCATGATAAAAAATCATGATTCTGTTTTTATCATGGTCTTATATGTTTTATAATACATCCTAATTAATGCAAGAATTATACATTGTGCAATTTGATTATATCCATAACCTCTAACCTGATATTATGCAATACTGCATTTAAATGCATCTCTGCAGCTGAGTATAGAGAAACCACATCACTTAGGACATATATTTTAGATAGTTTTTGGCATCAGTAAATACTATATTATAGTTTCATGTGGATTAACCAATCTCAACTACTCTTAAAAGGGTTTGAATGCACAATTTAGAAATACTTACGGCGTCGGATCGCGAACACAAGTAGTCCAAAATAAAACTCGCGGCACACACACGTTTTTGTTGTTTCCTTCTCTTGCAACTTCTTTATTGCGGTGTTTGCTTTGCGCACAATTTTCTACACACACGACCCGAATTCGTGAAAACTGAAATCGCACGAAGAGCTGACGAAACGAGCGCAATACACGACGAAATCTGACAATTCGAAGACCAAGAAAAAAGTTGTAAAGAGAGACGAGAAAAACGTACTCTTTTTGCGTATTTGAAAATTTTGTTTTATCAAGATTTCTTGCAACCTAATGCAAATTTTGGGTTCAATTGAATTGTACAATATCACTGATAAGTTTATTTTGCACGTTTGTATGATTTCACAACACTTTTCACCATATTTCAATGGTATTTCGCGAAAAATCTCGTCTCCCGAGCGAACATGTGGCCGACGCCGTTGATAGAAACTTCGAAAAAGAAAGATGGCATTACTGTCATTTTCCCCGAAAGGGGTAAAACGCCGTTCTAACGAACATGTGCATGCAAACTGACAGTGTTGTTAGGAAGTTTGCGAATTTTCGCAAAATTTTAAATAGTGAATCTTATTAAATAGATTAATATTAATTTATGTTTTTTACTGTGTTATATTAAAATTATGTTTTTGGGTTGGCGTTGCAGCTTCTAATTCAGCGCCGTAGATATTTTTAAACGCATACTGTTCTATAGTCTACACTTAGAAAAAAATCGGATCATTTTCCAATCTATTCTTTAATACAAGCTTAAAAATTAACTGCCGACCCAAATTGGCGCATCAAGGTTACAAGGTTGTGCATTCCCGGCGTCGATGACATTTCTCAATTAAAAGCAAAAGAGGATAAAAGAACCTGTAAGATTAGTAAATTCTATTAATACTAGATTTTTAGATAGGAAACGTGTTTTAATTGCTTTAAATTTAAAAAAATATATGATTTAGAACCTAAATTTTAGATTGACACATAGATAATAGAATTAAGTTTGCATCGCGATCTAGTGGTCTATTGTGCCCTCCACTCTTAACAATACCTCCTCTAGACCTAAATCCCTGAGAAAATGCAACAGTACTTTAGCGGATAGGGAGCGAATGTGCATAAGCTGTGGCCACATAGAGCCTAAACTTCTCTCAGGTCTGCTGCAGACTCTATTCCCTTTTGACCTTGTGCATATCTTCCTCGCTTCCCTCCTTTTCTTCCACAGCCTTCAGTCACCGAGGCCACATGGTAACATAACTGAACCCGTAGTTCAGCTTTTATCTCTCTCTTCGGACATTACTAAATGAGTCCTCATCAATGCCCACATTAGGAAATTTCAGTGAATTTAAAGTTTCTGCGGCGTTGTTTACTTTTACTTGAGAATTGTCAAAATCGGCTCTGTTCGCTACCGTGTGAAGCATCCCACAATAAGGCTTTCTGCACACTCGTCATCCAATTATGGTGTTTTAATCGTTACATTCACTGTATTGTGTTTATAATTTACTACGTTTATAAGCACGTATTATTTGCAAGTAACAATTTACAAAATGGTAAACTTTGCTGTATAAACGCCGAGTTAATTTTTTATTTGCAAATAGCTAAATCACGCAAATAAGTATTGATTGCTGTTACTATTTGCAAATAAGCGCCGCCATTATTAGGTTTATTTTCTTTTTCGATGGTCATCTTATTGCCTTTTTATAATCAGGCTATATTAAAAAAGAATTTTTCACCATCGAATAAACAGTGAGCTAGGTATTTGCAAATTATTTTTATTTGCAAATAGCTTACGTATAAACGAAGTATGTATTGTTTTTATAATTGTCTGTACGCCTACCCTACATAACAATTTGACAACTAAAACATAATCCGAATTGTCTTGTCTCAAATTGGCTCATGTAAACGCAGCGTTACGTGATGATTATAGGGAAAATACACCACACAGTAGGTCTGCACAACGTGAGTACGTTCACGGTATTGCGCAGTTTTATTTTTGCACAGACGATCTCACATACTTTCTATGTATGATCCAACCTGATTTGTGAATTTTGTGATATTTCATAGTTAAGACAATCACTTTTAGATGTTTAATTTTCAATACAACTATTTGCTTTTTGCTATTTTCCACACATTTTACACATGAAATCTTAATTTTTACGTATTTTTTATGCAATTATTCACCAATTCATTCAGTTACCCAACAAAATGTAAACAAACGATGCGTACACAACGATTCTTAATCGGCAATTTCGTGCCAATCCTTTTGTACACCTTTAACGATTTGCGCGACTATGATTGGACGATAAATATGCCGAAAGCCTAACGCAGCGCCAGCGCCACGCAAATGGAATTTTCATTTTGGACAGGGCGTTACGTGTTGATATTGGTTTGGCGGACAGTTTAGGAGGAAAAGAGAAAACATCAAAAATGACGCCACGCTATATTTTTGGTAAAACGCGAGCTGGCACTCTTGACGTTACAAACGTAACCCGCTCCAATTTAGGAACGGCAGTAAGGTTTAGGTTGCAGTAATGGTGCAGTCAGACTATGCATTCGATTTTATAATGTAATTCTCTTTTTAGATAAAAGTTGCAAAAATTTCCGAGAAATCGCCTGTAAAATGAAAGAAAAGCATACATTTAACCCAGAAATACCATTTGTGGTGTAGCGTTAGATGAGGTGTTGTTTCCTTTTTGAGGCAACAGCAGCTTCGTATTTCACACAAACAAATCTATGCTTATTGATGATTTTCTGCATTTAACGCAGCGTTTGTTTAGTTACGGCACTTCGGCATTAATGCCCATCACTTTTGTTTAGGTATAACAGATACTTAGACAGTGGACTATGAAGCGTTGCCTTGATAAAAGATTGTCGTGTGCTACTTTCGGCAGGTTATGGGAAATCGCAATTGAAGTTTGGAATGCAATTTCTCAAAAATGCAACGATATCTCGGAGAATGTTAATAATTTACGAAATTATTAAATGATTTAATTTTTGTGTTGGTGTTGGACGAACGAAAAATGACACTGAAGATGGCACAATGCCGAAACTGGTTTGTCTGCAAACCAAACTTGACTAGGGATGACGGAAATTCGTTTAATTTTTATTTTTAAGTTTAGGAACGATTTGCGTTAGTAAAATGTTGTCCTATGAGACATTTATCAACAATTTAGCAGCCCCTTCGTATGATATACAACAAAATTAGATACAAATTTGTAATAAATTAACAATACTTTTCATTCAATATCGCGGAAACAAAAAAATATGTCTAAAAAATGAAACAAAAAACTTTAGAAAACCGTAGAAGAAAGGGTACCAATTTCCTTAGTGTTCATTTACACACGGCGATTTTTGTTGCCGCAACTCGACGTTGTATGAGAGAGCGTGACGAGGAAATGAGAGGGGCACCGAGTTGCTCGTGCTCGGGCAACACGCTTTGTGCTCTCGTTGGTCTATGTAAATTGAACCGCTGTTCACAGCTGACAACAACAATTGCATACACACAAATCGCCGTTTGTAAATGAAACGAGCAACCCCAAAAGGGAATGTGAAAAATCGCGTCGACAAAAGTTTCTGTGTATAAACACAGTCTTAAGAACTGCGTACTGCCTTAAGGAAATTTGACTCAAGAAAATTGTTTAGCCATTTCTATAAGTCATTTTATATGGAGTTTGTGCTTTTCTTGAGAGCTGTATACAGGCCTTAACCGTGTAAAACTCGTAAGTTTACGAGGCTTTTATGGGAACGCCCCCTTTGCGAGAAGATGTAATTGCGTGCGCAAAGTGATTGTTTCACAGATCAACCAGGATTTTGTGAAGCAATTTTTGTTTCGTGTTATATTCCATAAATCCCGCCATCTTGTCTCTATCACTCTTGGCTAAAATGCAATTAAAAATGCTGAAAAATAGGAGAAAACCTAAGTCAATACTGTTAGTGGATGAAATTTATTAATTTTATTCGCGTATTATTATTTTTTAATTTATTTTCATTATTTTGTCATACATTTTAATATAAAATATTCGGCCCCTCGGAAACACTGAAGTTTACGAGGTCGTTTGCGCATCAAATTTGCTTCGTAAACTCACGAGGGGCTCGTAAATAGAGCTCCATACAAATTTTGAAGGGTCTTTTACGAGGCTCGTAAGTTTACGAGCTTTACGAGGCTATTACGAGTTTAAGGGAAGATGGGCGGAATCGGGAAGGTCTATAAATAGGTCTATAAACATTCGCAACTGTCATCATTCTTGATTTCCCATTTTTAATTGAATTTCTTATAAGGACACCCGATATAAAATTCTAATCTTTTTTCCGAGTTTATTCTTCATAATTTTATACATTTTATTGCAATTGCTTTTCGTAATAATCTCGGCAACACTGTCAATCATAATGAATCATGAACCCCAACGAAAATGGTGGGTGGCGCAATGAAATAAGTGTAAACAAATGTTCTGAAAGTGCCAGTAGCATTTATTTTACGAAAGACGGCCAGCAAAGATAACTTTGGATTCAGTATAAAGCGGAAATGAACTCTTATCTTATCTCACAATAATATCTTGCAGAATAATTCAATAGCAGAAGTACTCAGATTGTATGTATGTATGTATTTATGTATATAAATTGCTGAGGAAAAAGTTCCATTAATCACATCTTTTAAAAGTTAACACATTCAACAAAGCACTGGATATCGAACAAACAACATATTTCGCGTATTGCGATAAATAACTTCGTTGTTGTTACCATATAATAGCCGAGAAAGTTTTTAAAGCATTGTGGTGTACGTGGCAGTCTACAATTTGTTTACACAGCAGCTAGAATACGAAAGTATAAGTGCACGTACGTATTTCGCTTAGGAATCTCTTCGCAATGTGTGGCATATTCGCGTATATCAACTACTTAACTCCCCGTTCGAGACAGGAAATTCTAGAACTACTATTAAATGGTCTTAAAAGATTGGAGTACCGTGGCTATGACTCGACTGGTTTGGCTATTGATGACCCCGAAGCAAGTGATCAGGGTAATATTATAATTGTACGGCGCACAGGCAAGGTTAAAGTCTTAGAAGATGCAATAGCGGAAGTGTGCAATAGCGAAGCATACAAAGTACCTATCACAACTCATGTCGGTATTGCGCACACACGTTGGGCTACGCATGGGCCACCTTCTGAAACTAATTCTCATCCTCAACGTTCCGATGAGGATAACAGTTTTGTGGTCGTACACAATGGCATCATTACAAATTACAAAGATGTGAAAACCCTACTGGAGAAGCGTGGCTATGTTTTCGAGTCGGAAACTGATACTGAGGTAATCGCTAAATTGATTCATCATTTGTGGCGACAACATCCAACTTACTCGTTTCGCGAGCTTGTCGAACAAGTCATTCTCCAATTTGAAGGCGCATTTGCAATTGCTTGTAAATCAAAGCATTTTCCTGGAGAATGTGTAGCCTCACGACGAGGTACGCCGCTATTGGTGGGCATTAAGTCTAAAACACGTTTATCCACTGATCACATTCCAATATTGTACGCAAAGAAGAAGCGAGCCTATGGAAAAGCACTGCCAGCGGAAATATCGTTGCCCCCCCGTTTCGACGATACGCCAGCCGAGTACCAACCTTTGGAAAGCAAAGAAGTCGAATATTTTTTCGCATCAGATGCCAGTGCGATAATTGAACATACTGACCGCGTAATCTATCTCGAGGACGACGATGTGGCAGCAGTTAAAGATGGTGCGTTAAGTATTCATAGAGTAAAGAAATGCTTAGATGATCCTCATGCTCGGGAAATTACGACACTGAAAATGGAGATTCAGCAAATTATGAAAGGCAACTACGATTCGTTCATGTTGAAAGAGATTTTCGAGCAGCCGGAATCGGTGGTTAATACAATGCGCGGCCGAATGTTCTTTGAAACCAAAACTGCAGTATTGGGTGGCATTACAGAGTTTATTCCAGAGATTAAGCGTTGTCGTCGTTTAATTCTGATTGCTTGTGGCACATCGTACCACAGTGCTGTAGCTACCCGTCAACTGCTTGAGGAACTCACTGAATTACCGGTGGTAGTAGAGTTGGCCTCTGACTTTATGGATCGCCATACACCAATTTATCGCGATGACGTCTGCTTTTTCATATCGCAGTCAGGAGAGACGGCGGATACTTTAATCGCATTGCGCTATTGCAAGCAGCGTGGCGCACTCATCGTGGGCATCACTAATACTGTGGGCAGCAGCATATGTCGCGAATCGCATTGTGGAGTGCACATTAATGCTGGTCCTGAAATAGGAGTAGCATCCACCAAGGCGTACACATCACAATTCATTTCGTTAGTTATGTTCGCACTGGTCATGTCGGAGGATAGACTATCACTACAACCACGACGTCTGGAAATTATATACGGCCTAGAAACACTCGCCGATCAGATACGTAAAGTATTACAGCTGAATTCACAAGTACAGGAGTTGGCTAAGGACTTGTATTTGCACAAATCACTATTAATAATGGGACGCGGATACAATTTCGCTACATGCCTTGAGGGTGCGCTAAAAGTGAAGGAATTGACCTACATGCACAGTGAAGGAATATTGGCGGGCGAGCTGAAACACGGACCCATTGCGCTGGTGGACGATGAGATGCCAGTGCTGATGGTTGTCATGCGCGACCCAGTATATATGAAATGTATGAATGCATTGCAGCAAGTAACAGCGCGTGCCTGTCGACCAATAATTCTATGTGAAGAGGGTGATGAAGATACAAAAGCTTTCTCATCTAGAACTTTAGAAATTCCACGAACAGTAGATTGCCTACAGGGTATACTCACGGTTATACCATTGCAGCTTCTATCATATCACATAGCTGTATTACGTGGCTGCGATGTGGACTGTCCACGTAACTTAGCGAAATCTGTAACGGTGGAGTAGTAAAGCTGCATGATAAATAGTTTCTAGGGAGGAAGAACTTACACCGCAAACCAATTACACATATGTACATGTTTTTATTTTAAGAGAAATCTGTTTATTTTCGTAGTAAATCATAAATAAGCATTTTAAACTATTTTAACTACTGTTATCCATACATATCGAGCCCTAACCGCCAAAAGGGCTTAAGCGACAACCTGTTCGATTTTCTTTTTTCGACGGAAATCGATTACCCACCACCATACGCACCAGCTGTCAAAAGCTCGGATCCAGTACTCTATGAACTTACAGGATTTTACACGAACTTGCAAGAAGTTGCAGGAAAAATGTTCCCGTACTCCAAAATCCTCCAAAATCCTGTAAATGAGAGCGACTTTTGGAGAGTTGTGTAGAGAATGAAGTTGCAAGATTTTACCCGAACTTTTTCTTCTGGTATAATCGTGAAAAGTGTCAAGCAATCACTGGTTGACGTTTTTACAGGAAAAATGTTTTTTTGTTCCCGTACTTTTTGTTGCTCTTAATAAGAGGAATACAAGAAATGAGTTAAAGGCATCAAAATGGTTTTTGTTAATGCAAAAACATATTTTTTTTTTTAAATATATCTTTTGGCTTAACCGCCGCAATTGCGTGCTGCAGCCTTTTTTGTGACGACAAAAAGGGCGTAAGCGACAAAATCACCTGTTTCATTAAAGATGGACAAATAATACCACCAGTATTATATACCTTACATCAAATGTAATTTATTCATTGACCTTCACGTTAGTATCTACAGTAATTGCCGTGTTAATAAAAAAAACAACGCCTACTGTAAAATTTACTTTTTGTCGCTTACGCCCTTTTGGCGGTTAGGGCTCGATATGTACTGTGCTATTGGTAATATGTATATAGTACATACAAATGGATTGTAAATATATATGATTCACATAGTTATGCGAGTGTATACATATGTACATATACCCGTTAGCATTATTTTTGAAATGTGCAATACATTATCCAACGAAATACATACTATAAATTCATACATTTAAAAATGAGTTTAATTTCCTAGTTAGCAGGAGAAACCACAACCACAAATTCTGTTGTTATTGTTATATCATATAAATTCCTGAAAGAGTTTTTGGAGTTGCTGGAGTGACGGTCCTTGGCCAGATATAAATCTGTATCGTTCCGGTTTACATCTCTATACATATATATGTGTAATTAAACCTGCGATTTGTTTATTTAATTTTTTCATTTCCATATGAGAAAAGGCAAACTCCCTCCTGTGGCTGAGAAAGCTTCGAAATAAAGAAGTTAAATAGTAGGGGGAGAAGACATCACCCTATGGAACCCTTTGCTTAATTTTTATTGCTTTCGATATTTGTTTTCGAAAGGTTAATGACGACTTCCCACCACTAATATAACTCACCGTTCGAATCCCTGTGGGAAAGAAGCATCGAGGCTTCTTGGAATGACGGACTCTGTCAAACTCCTTTGACAAGTCCACCGCCAATAGGACTGTTCTCTCACAGGTGCGGTTTCGGTTAAGGCCACGAGTTATCTGGGTGCGTATTGTGTTAAGTGCGGTGGTTGGGTTGTGCCCTTTGCGGGAGCCATGTTGATGCTTTGTCGCGGTCAGGAGGTATGAAAGTGCGGGAGTAGTGTCTTCGCTACGGGGAAACGAGTGTTATAGGTCGATAAGACACCCCTTTGTAGGTTGGCTTCCCTGGGTTCCACATGGACAGGTTGAGGACCTTTCGTCGACCCAATGGTTTTGGAGGCTTTCGGCCTCCCGATGGCCTCCTGGACCTCACCGCTGGTAAAAGCGAAGGGTGCAACATTTTTTGACAGTTTTTTCAGCCTTCTGATCACTCGACGCTTGACCTCGCACATTTTTCTTCCGGTCCGACAAGGCGTTGCCGTCGAATAAGATTGTCTTGGTTGTTTACAACCCGGTCCTATGGTAGCTAGAAGCGCGAATTCATATATGGTGGTGTTACCGGAAAACCAAACCTATGTATGTAACACAATTGCCTAATGGTTTGCCGAGCCGTAAACATAGTTTACACATCAAATTTCGTAAGTAGGTACTTGGTATTCACACCTTTTTTAAGAAGTTTCACTTCTATCATGTGTACGGTGCTACACACGCCTTTTTTATTTTTTATTTTTATTTTACCATAAACATTATTTTATTTTATTTTATAAAATTTTGTTTTATTATCTTTTTGTTTGTTTGTGGTATTTCATATAATTATTTCGTTATTAATAAAATTTTTTGGAGTTTAATTTTAATTAAAAAGGCCAGAACAACTATAATTAAATAACAAAAATTTTAATAATAATATTCAAAAATTTTTATTTAGCTTGAGACCGTTTTTAATGAAAAGCAACCATACTTTGAAAAAATGGTAGAAGTGATAGCTATTTCGGAAATCACCACATTTCCTCATCAGACTTCTTTCAGTAGGATTAGAACCGACGATCCCACTGACTCAGCCAGTTGCCTACGCACTGTGTTAAGTTCGCCTTGTAAATGATCGTTGCTTTTTTCCCACTTTTTCATCTGTCAAGCCAACACAATCAAGCGCAGCTATTCCGCTGCAATTCACACTTGGCCATGTGGTTGTTAGTATTGTTGGTTTTTTTAATATTTCTATTTTTAGAATGTTTAACTTTTAGGTGTGCTCGACCTTAAGTTATTTGTTTTTGTTATTTTATCAAGCTCATTTTATTAAAGCTCAATAGAAATTGTTGAATATAATTGTTATAAGACCATAAAATAACAAAAACAAATTTAAATAATTTTTAAAAGAACAAAAAAAGATATAAAACAATTGTCCTTGGCAGTGGGATTCGAACCCACGACTTCCGGCTTGCTAAATCTGCAATCCTACAGCGGACACAGGGTGAATTAATTAAAGTACTCATATTTCTATATACTGCCATCAAAAAGCTGTTTCTATATGCCGGTAGTAGTGCACTTTACGGGAGCCAGGGCAAAATGGACGGAACAAATCGAGTGTGGTATCAATCGAAGCGTTTTAACGCGAACAATAACAATCCCTTCGGAATTAAGATTTTTAATTAATTTAAGAGTTATTCGCACAAAACACTTGCACTTTTCGCACCATGTTTTGACTAACATAAATGGAGTAAATGAATGTTGTTCTCAGCAAAAGGTGTTCAGCCTCCCTTCTTTGGCATCAAAGAACGGAGAATTCTACCGCCTGAGGGTTATAATCCCTAAGTGCGGCCGAAAGCCGCCTACGGAAAAAGGAGTTGGACGCCTGGTTCCGCTAAAGTGCACTTTTATCTAGATGTCTATGATTAACAAAACTTAAAACTCTATTCTATACCTTAAAACTGTATTTTAACAAGAATGACTTTTAACTAGCGACTATGACTATGGGCCATTGTTTTCTCCCAACTACATTAGCATGCAACACTGTGTATGCGTTCGACAACATTTCTTCATCATCCACATTCCACAAATGTCATAACATTTATCAAGGAAATTTTCTTTAGCAATGCGTTTTTACGAGAGTTCAATAAAAACCGCAGGAATATTAAATAAAAAATAATTTTAACCAGTGTCCAATCCAAAAACTCATTAATCTGTGGCAAATATAGTTTAGAAAAGTGGAAAACTACCAACTATGACAGTGGTTGAAGGGTTGGCGACAACGTCTGCCGCAGCAAATGCGGCAACGAGACCGCGTTGTTTTTTCGATATTTCGATCGGTGGACTCAATGTTGGACGCATTGTATTTGAACTGTTCAAAGATGTGGCACCCAAGACAGTGGAAAATTTTCGTGCTCTCTGCACCGGTGAAAAAGGCTCTGGTTTGGTTACGGGCAAGCCATTGCACTATAAAAATGTTATATTCCACCGCGTTGTAAAGGATTTTATGATACAGGCAGGCGATTTTTCGGCTGGCAACGGAACCGGAGGCGAGTCCATCTATGGCGGAACTTTCGAAGGTAGGCATTGGCATATATGTATGTACATACAATATTTGTATTTATTTATTTATGGAGAAAGTGGCCTAGAGCGTTTCTCTAATAACACGAAATGTATTAAAAAAACATCCAATTAGATTAAGTACAGAATATATTTTAAAATGCTAAAGGTTAAGTTTCAAATTACATTTATTGTCACTAAAATATAAAAGTGAGACCTGGCTATAAGTTTATTATATGCATGGTAGGTTCTGTATGTAGCCTCAACAATAAGCACACCACTACGTAATTCCAGAGTTGGCTAATTCGTTTTGAAACTGCTGCGAATTTCTTGGCATTGTATGCGTCCGTATAAGATGTTATAGACAAACATGACAGATAACAAGAATCACCTGTCCGAGAGGGCACACCATTAAAGGAAGCATTATGGATGACAGTATGGAGTGCCAAAATGATGTTGTCACAACGCCACCAACATGAACATAACACAATGCTCTGCAAGCAGTTCCTTATATAGTGCCAGGCACACGTGCACCCGAACAGACAGCTGCTTGCAGAAGAGCCCTCGCCAAGGACCGTCAGGAAGCAACAACAACAACGAACTGACGGACGAAGTGCAGAGGTTCATAAAAATCCTCAGGACCGGTTCGTCATACCGACAGGCCTTGAACGATTTCACAGGGAGTCGGTCTGGAGTTACATAGACTCCTGCAACATTGCCTTGAAAGTACCAATAGGGACGCCAGTACCATAGGCCAGTGCATTTAATTGAATACGAATTGAATTTGAAATGGCATATTTCCTATGGTTCATTTCTATCCGTCGCTGGTGGGAGAGATTTGAAAGTAAAAAGGTCCGTGGAACCCTCATGGTTTCGTTTTATAAAGCATAACATTAAATACGCCTTGTTAACAACGGGTTTTACAAGCGGTGAGAATGTTAGATTTCTTTTAAAGATGATCGTTAAATCCATAACTTCGGGTGTCAGGTACCACATAGCGTTCCTTGTATGGTCTTTTATAAGTTTAAAGAGTTTTAAATAAGTAAAAGCTAGGCGCCGTGATTAGTTGAGACATGAAAGTAAGAAATTATGAAGAGCATGAATAGAAGAGGTTTAAGATGAACCCTTGAGGTATGGTTTACATATCGTGGTTTAAAGTACAAAATCGCGTATCAACAAAATGCAAAAGCGCGTATCAG